ACAAGACGAAATTGGGAAGAGAGAAGTTCCTATCGTCTTAGAGACATTCGGGCTACATCTACACTTTAATTTGCGCAGATGAAAACTTTTATGATTCTCGTGCTTAAAATTCGTACAAAATTTTGGATATACCGTGTTTATTAGAAGACGCACGCGAAGGCTGACTCTACTTCAGGGCGAAATACTTTACTAATGTGTACTCTACTAACTACACGACCTAAGCTATTGGAATGGTAATCAAGACCCCTGTGCAATAAGGTTTGGGTCCATTGGGACCATAAGTACTTGAGATTGGTGATAGCCGTACTTTATACGTTTAAGAATCCTAGTATGTTTCCATCAGCCCAAAATGTATATTTGTTGACTAATCAAGTGATAGACTCATCATTTTTAAGGAGCCTAGTAAGTGAGCAAAAGACAATGAACCTGCACCACGTATCTCCTCAGGAAGTCTGTTCCAGATGCCAGAAAACTTATTGAGGAGGAAATTACCTCGCGTATTGGTTTCATAACACTAAGTTTTAGCTAGCAGTTTGTGAGTGCGCTTACTGTAACTAGATGTTGCATCTATTTTAATCTCCGGGCCCCACGAGTGCGTTTGCTTACAAAGTGGTTTATAATAAAACGTAAGTTGTATTCTGAGTTGCCTCTTCCGGAGAGGCTCTAGTCCCAGGATGTTGTGCCTGGGAATGTAGTCAGGGCTGCAGTCAGCTAGTAATGTTCCTGACGTAAAGTGGCGTCGCACACCTTTGATTTTTAGTTTGTCGTCTGTCTGAAAGCTACTCATAACAAATGAGCAGCATTCTGGAACTGGGCGGATGCATACTTTTAAGGGTAGGACCCTTGATTCAGTATTATAAAGGCCACGAATGATGCATCCTAGAAGTCCGTGTGACTCCGTTTCGCCACACACCACCTGTTCAGACAAATTCAAGTCACCGGAATGTCTGAGCCTTTCTTCTGAGACAGAACCAAGTTTTGGTAACGGTTATCCAGATACTTCAGATACAAGCCAAGGTTACCGTTACTAATGCAGATCCGTCCGCACTTGTCGATGTCGGAGTGCAGGAGGGTATCAGCACACCAAGAAGAAACCTATTCTGCCATGTCGAATGGCAGCCATCGAGACACCTGGCTCATGGCAACAACAAGGGTGAACGATCTTCAGGTCATCGGTATATGGAAAAACGTCGCCTGTTGCAAAACAGTTGCAAACACCGTTGATATACATAATAAACGAAAGATGCCCGGGAACACTGCCCTGCGCAGCTCTACTAGTGACGTATCTCGGAGTAGACAGAACTACATTGGTTTTCGCCATTTGGGTGTGACCACTAGGGACTAATTTCAGCCGGCCTAGCAGACGATTGCTAACACCTAATGTGTTTAACTTATCGAATAGTATATCACGCAAAACCACGTCAAATGACTTCAGTATTTTGAATTACAGCACAAGGACTATTTTGCCTGCCTCACGGCTACCGAAAATGAGGCAAGGAATTCGGAATGACGTGTAACGCATGATCTATTCTTCACAAAGGTGTGTTGAGCCTTTGCTATAAATCCTTCTGCAAGTATGTATTCAGACATGCTGTCTTTCACAACTTTCCCCATAATTCTCGGTGGGATTGTGATTATATCGATGAGTCTGTAGTTTTGACACGGGCCTTACCCCCAGATTTGTAGTGTGGAGTTCCAAAGCCAGTTTTCCATTCAGCTGGATAAGTTCCATCTTTCATCAAAAGAGTGAATGACTTGAGCAGAATGGAGGTAAGGTCTTTGCTATTATTCCTTAGGCTTTTCATGGTTTCAGCTATATTTCTGCAAGTAAGTTCTACGCTGGCGAAATGGTTGCTGCAGGGTGGTGGGCTACCGACGGGAGTACGCTTCTCACAACCGAAATTCCCGAAGCAGTCAACGGGTGGTCCACAAATCGCGACTAAGTTGCTGTGGGCTACCTCCTTGTGAAGCAAGCATCCATATTTTTGTTGTTTGAAGGCGTCTTTTTAGGACCGATGTTAGACTGTATACCCTGGAGCTAGTTCAGGGTTTTCGTGCACGTAAGCTTTTGACTGGTTCCAGGGTATCATGGACAGCGTGTAGCGAGGAACAATCCTTGTTGGAGCGGTACAGATCCAACAGTTCCCCCGGCCTTTCGCAGTATGTGGGTGGAATGGATCCAGAGTGTCGTTGTGGCCTCACTGTTTTACAGGAGTAGCAGTGTCCAGACATGGCTTAACATTCGTGTAAAAAAGGGATGTCGTGGTTGCTAGTGAGTCTGTGGTAAAGTGGTCGCCTCAAGGGGAGAACCTTAGAAACTCCGTGAGCACTTATCAGTCCGTATCTTTATAGCTCCGATACTCAATAATCCGTAAGGCTTGCTTACTACTACATTCAGTGTTGGGTGGGTAGACAACAGAATGCCATTCTGTGGTCTCTATCGGGAAATCCGCCAGCGACACAAGTAGTTACTGGAGTGATGTCGTGGCAAAATACCAGGTCCAATATGTTGTCACTGCAAATAGGTGTGTGGACGTGCTGCTTCCAATAATAGAGATCTATCACAGCAGGTATCTCGGCGAAGCGAGTCGGAACACAACAGGCTATCTAGTAAAGTTCTGGAAGATTGAAGTCACAAACGATCTGCTCGTGCCTTCCTTTTCTTCTTCTCTTTCAGCTTAAGTTTGAAGAGAAAACCTTGAGCATAATTTCGATGGAAATTGTCAACCTACTGAATATATTGCTTCACACCTGATACCAGAAACTATTGGAAGATTCCTTCAGCTGTTCTCCCCTACTGATTTTCAAGTTTCTGAAAAGTTCCACAGCAAACCAGCCCAGTTACCAACATCCTGGATGCAACCACGTACGAAAACCCAACCATAAGAAATGATCTGAGGCTTCTGGACGGCCATAATGGCATCGAAAATCTGGACAAACAACTAAGTCTAAGAAATAAACTCACCCAGCAACTCAAAATCAGACATGTTTGCAGACAAACTTCTCCAGTACTTCACCTTACCTGACTCCGTTTCATAGGAGACAATTAACGGTCGGAAAAACCTCCTTGATAATGCTGTATGCTTCGATGTGAATTCTGTGTGCAAACTCCACCACCATTGGATAATGGTCGTCCAAATGTTTGTTTCTTTGTACAAGAACAACTAACTCTGATGGATTGCATCTGTATTGCTAAGGTCACACTACGAGCGGGAAACTTGAGGACCCATATACTCACGTGCATTATGTGACTATGCTAACACTGACCGTTACCTGAAATCGATGAAGTGAGTTTCGTTGGCCAACGGTACTATAAACACGTGAATCGATGTCAAAATAAACGTTCATCTGACGATACATGGGACTACACCGCCAGATTAAGCATCTGGTCGCATGTAACTCAAACGCCGAATATTGTGCTATTTTGGCATCACTTTATTGTGGAAAAAGAGTGGTGAGTGGAGTCAACCGCAACCCATAAACAATCTGTGTGTACTGTGAAGTGATATTTTTCCGTTCTGTTTATAGCCTGCCGTCACTTGATATCATGATGAACCTTGATGCGATACCTGCTGTGTCATTCAGGATAGCCCAACTACTGGAGATTTCTCCGCATTATCAATTTGATGGTGCCTGTGCGCTGGTTTCTCTTATGTTAAACTCTTAATTTGAGACTAAATTATTTGTTCATTAATATTGTCATATTTCGTTTGCGCGAATTGATGATAAACTTCTAGAAGATATGGTCGGCTGGAATTACTTGGTTGTTGCACTGAGAACACCTCGTGGTTCCTAATAAAGATGTTAATGAGAACACCGTCTTCAATGAGTTTGAAGCTCTCATATGGCAGTGATCTTAGCGACAGAATTGAGCGAAATGACAGTACCCCGATTCTTGTTGTTCTGCCGTTAATACTTTTTGGTGTAACTGAGGGACAAATCCTACGCAGGAGGCCAGTATCAACGGGTTAATTTACTCTCTTCTTTTGCGCCATACTACTCTGCCGATCACTTGCGTCTTGAGTTCCCATAGTTCTTCGTGTTTTAGGGTCCATACCTGCAGTTAATGAGCCCTCACTCCTTGGTCGGTATTTTGATATGAATTTTAGCATGAATATTAGTCAACAGAGTAAGGTGAGGACCCGATTAAAAAAACACAATATTTCTTCGGCAAGCCAGTCTTTTTACGAACCACCAGATGCAAAGTTTCAGCGCACTGAAACTAGAAGGAGTCAGCTACAACAGCTTTGAATTTTTTTTAGCCTCTTCGTGCGGCCTATTAGTTCTTCGATCAAGACTTTCTTCGGATATTATGTTCGAAATACATTAAACTTTATTCGTAGTGTGAAATTCACGCGGAACAGCAATGTTTTAAATACGAAGCAAATGTCTTTAAGTAGGTGCCTGTGTCGGAAACAAAGATAGCCATCAGCCTTCGAAGAGTGACCACATATACATAAATTATTTCCATTATCTTATGGCAGGTTGAGGGGAAAATTCATACCAACCCATTCAGTAGTAAACAGTGACTTCGGCCGTAAGTCATTTTGTCCCTTACTTTCTTCAAAGACTGGACGTCAATGTGTTGGCTATAGTTCTAGGCTCACGTTATCCATGGGTAGTTCTTTGCGTATCCAAGTGCGATATTCGTAGACATGACAGCATTTTTGGCCCGATGTAGAAACAAACATTCGCTATTAAGAGGACAGAAAGACTGCAACTGTTTCCCGAATTTCAACACCTAAACGTTTTCAGCAAAAAGAATTCAGCTAACAAAAGCAAGCTGAAGGTGTATCTCATTTTAACCTTGTAAATCCTGTTACTTCAAAATGAAACCTTTTACGAGAGAAGTGGAGTAACTTCGTATACAAAATCTAAATGAAACTCAGTAAAAACGGAACTTAATTAGTTCGCAGTTTCTACTTGTGAAATGAGGAATTCTCTGAACAGAAAATTTCGTATCAAGCACGGTTGACCTTGAAAACGCGTTCTTTGAAGGTATGCGGTGTATACACACTATTCGGGGTGTTGCAAAGACAGAAGTGTTTCCTCCACTTAGTAAGTGCTTCGGACCTAAATATACATGTTATTTTGTTTTTGAGCAGTCATCACACTTTTTGTGTTCTTGACGCAATATTAATCATTGATAATACCTCAGTTACTATTCAAACGTGTTATGAATATACTATGGTAACATAGATACTAGCTAACCCGGTGCTATCCACGTCCATCTTTTGACATGTTCTTATTAAGTGCAACCATAGACTTTTATTCAAAGCATTTTACTTTGGGTTCTATCTTGGCCGTGGCACACCTGTGTGCCTATATGTGCATTTAAAGATTGTAGGACTATATAACCTTTTGCTGTCCTCGAACGGCTCTTAAATGTGCTCGTATGCGTCGGTCAAGAAACGGTCGTCTCTTGGTACAGTTTTTTGGGATTTTATAGCTGTTTACGTCGAGTTGTATTCGACAAGAATGCCCTATCTCTCCGTTCTTATTCAATTTCACCATGGACACTCTTATGGAGGTCTCTCTTTTGTCATCTGACTACAAAGAGACTGATTTAGTCACAGGAGAGTTCTTGGTAGACCTAGAATTGGCAGGTAAGATAGTCGTCTCTAGGTAACAAGTAGTGCCATGCCGATCTTGCCTTTTCAGTGGAAGGGGGGTTAGGAAAGGTAGGCTCCAAGAACAACACCACCATGCCCCACGGTCTTTCGGGCCGGCGGTGTTGGTTCATTTGTCGTTTCTTTCCAGACCATCTGGCCCCAAAACAACCATACACAAAAGGCTGCGTGTGACAGGCCTCAAATAGATGTCTGACGGGCTCTTCGGTCACACAAATCTCTTTCAGGCACCTTAGGAAGAAATACCCCTCTACGGTGTGGGTATCCGGGAAGTATGAACCGCCCTCACAACTCTCTCAGCACTCAAGTTTCTTCAGACTGCTATCCACCTCCCTCATCATTACCTTCTAATCTTTCTTCACACCTCTCAATTAACGACACTACATCATCTTCAATTTCTCCTAGCTCAGCAGCCTTCAACAACGATCTGAATCTACAGAACAGCATCACTGGTCTCGCATTTGACCGACATCTATAATAAGCACAAGAGTGCTTCTGGTCGAGTATCCAGACGACATTGTCCTGCTAGGTGAAAACACTGACGCAATGCAGGGTCTTCTAAACACATTGAGGAGATTATGACTGGCATGCGTTTTGCACCTGTCAAGTGTAAGATGTTGCTCCAAGACTGACCTACTGCAAGTACTCCTAGTTTAATGAAAGAAAGTGAAGTGATGGAAGGTGTCGGCCATTTCACCTACTTGGGAAACTGCATCAGACCGTTTGGCATTTGCCAACTTGCGTCACCTATGGGGCTGACTAGCAGGATATTTGACTATCTACCAAAGAACGAGTATGCTGCGCTGCATTCCTTCCTATCCTGTTGTACAGCTGAGACGGCCGTTAAAAGTAGAAGACATGAAGTGATAACAGTGCTTTGATGACAGATGTCTTCATATTATAGCTTGCATTTAGCAAGATCACCGTGTGAACAATGTTGAGGTCAGACGAAGGGTACTAGGCAAGACAAGCAGGTCAGTCGATATTGTGAACGATCACCATCTGAGATGGCTTGTACTTGTGTTGAGCCACTGCCTACCTCGATGTGCAATGCTGGAGGGAAATGGATTAGGTTGGAAAAAGGTTCAGGGTGGTCGAACCAAGATGTGGCACCATTGCATGAAGTCTCCAACTGGGCTGTATGAGGAGATGTAGACTGCATGGTTGACATCCTCGAGATGAAAGGAACCAGTAGTTGAGGCCTCTTGGTGGCATGGCTAAAAACCGGTCACGATGGCGCGAATGTATTCACTCCTTGCCATCTCGATCTTGAATATTCGCACCAACCTTTATCTTCAAATTGTTTATTATCCCACATAACTTTGCCCACTTTGATGTTTATCTTTTTCTCTCCACCTGTTTTTCCGTACTACTATGAAGTATGGTAACTTGAGCCGATGCACCCCTATGCGACGTTCTACGTTGATTTTGTCAGTCAGTTCATGAAACAATCTTTGAAGGCCCGTAACATGCAACTTATGAGAATTGTTGGTTTGAAAGTTAGTTGTTCTAATGTCGGATGGGAAAAACCTATTCAACCACGGCTGGGAGATCGCAGGACAGTAAGGAGTGCGCTTTTTCTTGGGCCGACCTCTTCTAACCCTCCCGTTTACTACATTGAAGGCAGCACCTGCATGGTACTGCTGGCCATCTGCGGGAAACATTTCCCTGCTGTCACACTCCATCCAGCCAGCAGCACGACTTCGCCTTCAGACCCCCATCATAGCTTACAAATTTATGCTATAACAATAACTACTCTTCTAACCACTGTCATAGAAAACTGTTCTGGTATGGTAAGAACTTAAGGGAACAAGTGTTCCAGCCAGTGTAGCTCGTTGGGTAATTGTGGTATGCAAGTCCGACCACCACCCCAAGGCAGCAGCTATCGGTTGAGTAAGAATGAGTGGACATCCTTGACAGACACCACTAGACGTAAACTGCTCACCTGATAACTCACCATTGCTTCTAACAAGCCTGCGGACGTTCCAGTACAGATCCTTCAACCTAGTAATTTACTTACTCTACAACCATTTCCGCGAGAGACTGTCGTAAGACTTTCCGACCAACTCATTCAAATGCCACCTTCAGGTCAGAAGATACAAAGAGTATCGGTCATCGGAAAGTGTGCCTGCGTGTCTTGTAGCGAGCAGCGGAGTGGTAGCTGAATGTTATTTGAAATTTTCTCCCAATCATTCAACTACTTACCCAAACTGAAAGCTTTGTGCCCGAATTCAGAAACATTTGTGATCGAAATTCGACTTATTTTTCTTGCGCCTTTTTGCTGTCTATCGTGTATCAATTGTGCTTAGCGCTTTTAACAATGCTATTCTCTCATACGTTATTCTTCTGCTATTATTTCCTAATTTGTCCGTCTGCTTCATGAGTACTGACACCGTAGATGAACTTTTTTTCACTCTCTCGATTGAAGTTATGTTCTTCAGTCCAGTGATGTCTTCTTCTTGTTTTGCCTAGTGAGCTATCGAGTACTTTTATTTCGTTCATTCGGTATCCAGGCTGAGCGTCCATAATGTGCTAAATCCGCTTATTTCAACACTTCCATAAGAGTGAATCGCAGACCAATCCTTCTCCAATATGGTCTCAATAACCGTTGACTTTCTTGCTGCAGTTTTCTTCATCATTCTAACCAACTGTCTCCTGTTACCTATTTCCATTGCCTTTTTCATCTCCTTAGCCTTTGCAGTCACTCACTGCCCATGATCATTGCATAGACTTTTTGTTAGTCTACATTTTAGTTAATTCCACTTTTCTGTTCTGAGAGGCTGCATGAATGCGTTCACGTACATTCATTGATTCAAAAGAACTCATACAAACAAAAATAACTTGCTGATTCGCTCTCCCAAGAATATTTGAAAAATACCGATTTTGGATTGTGGCTGTTTGATAATATTTAACTATTTTTCAAGGTACATGTAAATGGTAGGTAACGTATGGTGGGAGTTTTCGGCAACAAAAGTTGTAGCTCGGAGAATTCCCACATGAGTTACAATTGTTCATTAATCTAAAATAGCCTTCAAGTTCATTATAACTCTGGCTTGTTCACATTTATCTGAAGCAAATTTCAGATTTGTCCTCGATAATTTTTGTGTATCATCTCTCTCACTTTCTAGATTTTCATCAGTGTTTGTATCCGAATCCACTATGAGTTCACAGAGAGGTAATACCCAGCGTACGCGGCCTCAAAAGTACAGGAATACCAAAGCCTTCAAGAACAATTTGCACGATACGTCTAAAGAGGTCAAACAGCTTAGCGATGTTCCATTGGATCTCTTATGTCCTAGATGTGTAGAGATTATACAATGGAGAGTCAAGTTCAAAAAATACCATCAGTTGACCAACCCGAAGGCTTGGTAGGCTATTTATTCATTTTTGCCGCAGTGAATAGTAATTCTTATTTTCACCAATGGGTTACCTGATGAAAACTGGATCATATGGTTTAATCGTCATTTCTAAACAATTCTAGTTAACTAAGTTCGAAATATGGCCTCTAAAGTATTTGATTCGATATCATAGTACTTTTTATTTGATTTTAGGTAATTTAATGTAGTCACTTAAGAACTTATGGTCGAGGCTTCGTTTGATTCCACCAGATAAGTCATGCTACTGCGTCACTCTACCATAATCAACAATATTGTTAATGAATCTGTTCGGCAAGTTCAGACAGGTGTAAGCTGTAAAAACACTGAAAGTAACATATCTGAAACCCCGAGAAGCAAATCACAATGAAACCTCAAAGCAGCGTTCAACCAAGCACTGTAAGATTAGTGTTTATGCATAACTCAATTCTTATCGCTTGAAATCTGCGAAAAATTATTTACTCTTAAATAAGAACTTTTCCGTTTAATTACCACGATGCCTTTTAAGTAGAGTAAGAAACAGGTAGTGTAATTATAGGTTATTGATCAAGCTGATGCTTGTAAGCTTTGCTGGGGTGTAATGATTTACTATGATGTAGAATTCTTAATTAGAATCGATAAGTTCACCAAACCTATCACATTCATGTTTCTTGATAGTATATTGTTATTTATTGAGGTAATTTTTTATCTTTTTAATGATGCAATCACATTGCCAATTGTATAGTAGTATTTAACGGATCTACCGTCGTTCATCATCAAGTAAGAGGTACTTTCACTGTATTTTTTCATTTTGCAGTGTAAAGTGCAATGAAAAGACGGTGAAGCAAGCCTATCATATTGTTTGTAAACCTTGCTCATCTGCCTTAAAAATTTGCTGTAAATGCGGGAAGCCAAATGAATCCATTAATTTTGAGTGAGTATATTTCTTAATAAAGTGTGGTGCGTATTATCGTTTTAGCGAATGAGAAAGATTTCCGATGTGGCCTAGTAATAACTCAGTCGGTACCAACACTAAACCTGACATCACTGCGTAGTATTGCGAGTTGCTACATCTCATATCATCGCATCAAGATGAAAGACAGAGAAATAAGAAAGAAAGGAGCCGAAGTGGTAGATAATCGCAAAAAGAAAGCAAGAGATAAAACGGTATTGAAATTCGATAAACAATATAATAATGCAACTCAACCCGTTACATATGTTTGTGCACTAGGCTGTGAGCCACACCTGTGTTAAGGCTTATGATGTTAGCTGGCTGTCCAAATCGAAGTAAGTGGAGTGGAATTTAAACTCAGGATCAATTTCTTAAAAGTCGAACGGTTAGACCAATCAACTACAGCTCCACATTCGATATAACGAATAACATACAGGTGCGTATGAACCTGTTTATAATATCTGTTCGAATACTATGTGTTTTTGACTTGTATTCGAAAGCTTAGTACAATTCACAACAAGTGTGATTTTTTCTAAAGCAGATTCGCACAAAATCCAAGCGACTACATGTAGTCTGTAGCTTTTTATGCAGTAGTGGATGGGTCTAAGGCATGGTCAGTTTCTTTTTTTTCATTGCTTCGGACCAGCTGTTCTAACTAATCGGCTTCAAAAGCCACAGTAATTTGATTTTCCAATATTTGAAAGCTAACATGTCATTTCTAGCACCATTCTGCTTTTTAGAGGTATACTGGTAGTGTTTATCCGTGTGCACATTGTTCACTGAAGTGGATACTCCTCAAGCAATAGGTAAATTAATTACATCATCTTTCTTCATCAGATACGTAAGCACCGTCATAAACATTTCAGGCCAGCACCAACTCTTAATATTGAGACTTTTTAATTCATTAATAATGATAACTATCAAGGATCTGGAAAAGTTTGTCATCTAAATATCTGACGACTTGGAAGCCTATGTGTGTGGTAAGGTAGAAGCATAATTTCGTTCCTGCCGGTCATTTCAACCCAGGAGTAAAGTTACTCTGAGTTGTGGGGTTTTTATCTGTTATTATTTATATTCCCCGGTGTCAAGTGAAAGTTCAGGAAAAGCCTCCGAGTGCTAGAACATCTTACGATATCGAATTAAAACAGCATACTCAGAAACTTTTCATGAATTGAGGTGAACTTTATAGTCAAGAAAGTGACTAATTTACACAGTTAATCAGGGCGAACTGGGAGTGTTCCATTCTTCTTAAACGAAACTGTCACTGTACGCAGTACTGAAAATGGAGCATAAAATGTCTGCGAAAATGTCGAGGTATTATTCTGTTACTAGCTGTTGTGAGAAGTCTGCATACCATCTGAAGTCATAAAAAAAGTGCGTAAAGAGCTCATATACCGTGTTTCACACTTGATAGCTGCTACCTCTAACGTGGTGGCTAGGCTTGCATATTACAATAACCCAAAGAGCTTTATTGGCTGAAACCGCTCTTACTTCGACGCAATACCATACCAAAAAGGTCTGTTGGGTGGCGGTAAGATGAAAAGCAGTTAACGTTATAATCTAAATTGCTGCGCTATGGTGGGGCTCCAAGGGCGAAGTCGTACTGCTGACTGAACGGAGTGTGACAGCAGTGAGGTGTGTCCCACTGATGACCACCGGTGCCATGTTGATATTGCCTTCTATATAGGGAACGGAAGGGTTAAAAAATCGGCCTAAAAAGTTGCAATCCTTACTGCCCTACGGTCTTACGATGGTGGCAAAGTGCGTTTTCCCATCCAGCACTAGAACAACTAACTGTCGAACCAACAATCCTCAGGTTGTGTGACAGGCCTCAAGCAGGTGTCCTACGAACAGGTTAGGGTGTGGTAACTCACTCTGACCTGGCCATCGCGGTGATTTACCTTAATGCTATTATTTGTCCTTTGGGTTCCTAGTGGAACATAAGGCCTCAGTTGCACGGATTCACCTTAATAGTATCCGGAAACCCAATGACTAGCTGTTATAGACTCACTGGTGTAGGCACAGCTTTAGGTTGTGGAGTAGGAGGCGCACTTCCCTCCTGGACACCAGTCAACATCTGTGTGTGCTGTTTGACGGAATGGACCTGTAGCAACTAGGAAGGACCAGAAGACTAGCCGATGCGTATTGGAAATCTCAAGATACGAACCCACCGACTGTAGTTCGGATGACGCAAAAGATGAACTCTATGAGAAGCTGTCAACTTTGCAAAGCAAAACGTTCGGATGTAGTCATAATGACAACGCTCAAGCAGGGAAGCTGAGCAAGTCAGGAACGCATCCTGTGGCTATGTACATCATCCCATACCAACAAACCGACTACAGTGATCGTCTGTTGCGATTTCGTTCTAACAATTACTTGTTTATGGCCTGCAGTAACTTAAACATACGGAGAGATACTGTCTCACATGGCGTCCGTCGACAGTGAACTGACGATGGGCACAAATAGATCGTGTTATAAGTCATCGTTGGAGAGTATCGATGGAAGATTGTCGCTTGTTATAGAGTACGTATATGAAGTATGGCCACGTATTAGTGTATGTTTGCGATTACTGATCACAGGAAACAGGCGGCAGTGAAGTATATCTGCGCTCAACTAGAAGACGAGAACGTCAGGTTGATCTTTGGGTGGAGCTGATAGCTAAGCATATATTTTAACGTAACAGTAATCCTATGTTCATTCTGAGGAAAACGCGTGATATTAGGTCAGCCATAAAAACAATGGTAAAGACAGTTGGTAACCTATATCCCAGTGTTGACAAACGTCACTAAATTCCCGCTACTTCATCTGAACTGATTGATACAAGAAGACTCATTCCAGCTGGCTCTGACCACGATGAAGAGCAAAAGGAACCTTAGCATAAGTTGACCAACAGTCTTCGCACCGATCACAAGCAGTGGTGGATGACGAAAGCAAGAGACATGGATAAAGCATCAGAGTTGGACTACACGTGGCTATTGTTTATGCTTATAGTGTATTCCGACACGAAGAAGATGAGTGAAACCATCCGCGCAAAGGACGGGACGCTGACGACCTCTCCTCTCCGGACAGACGGCTAGGACGTTGTTTTTCCTCATTGTGTTGCCCATTTTGCTGCTCGTGCTGTATTACCCTTCTTTTTAAAATCACTGCAGTGTGTCCTTAGATACTTACTTTTATACTACAGCATTTACACGGTGCTTCTTATTTTTTATCCTTATCGTTACTGCGTTGGGCAAAGCAGTGCCTGCACATTTAGGCATTTCTATAAGTAAACAACTAACTTTCAATTATTGTCTGCGAGCGTAAGACTTGAGTGAGAAATTACGAACTAACAGCTCCATTCAAGCTTGGTAACTTCATGCTCTCCATCACTAGTTATGCTGTACCTCAGACATTTGTATACAAGATCCTAATATAGCACTGCGTAATATTACCTAACTCCATTAATTGAAGAAATGTTCACCCATCGGAATATTTCACGAGACTGGCACTTGGTTGTGTGTTTTGGCTTTAGATTAATCTTCAGGCTTCATACCAGACTTGGAAGTACAATTTACTTGAAGGTAATCAAGTGATTTTTAAACAGATCTATCACTGCAAATATTTCTGCTTTGTTTCCTGAAAACAGTGCATTTTATTATTTGAATTACTCCCGTAGGTGTGGTAATTTGTCTCGTTCTATTCCCGATGTGCTTCTTCAATACTGCAATCAATTGCTAATTTTATGTGTATGCATCAATTTTGTAATAATTTGAATGTTATATAGGTTGTTTCATATTTATGTCTTGCATGTGCAACTTTGAAAATATTTGTTTTCAGATTACATGATTTGATAATATCAATATTTTGATGAAATACTAAAGTTGGTTTAACTGTCAGGTGTTATATACTGTCTGCGTGATGAATAAGTTATAAACGCTGAGTAATTTGAGCATCTTCCTATTCTCCATCTACGCACCCACCGTGTGGGCAGTGTTGCGGTCAGGCGAAGGGTTCTAGGCAAGACACGCAAGTCAATTGACGAGGTTGTGAACCTTAGTCCAATGATATAGCTTGGACATGGATTGCGCACGCTGAGCCACCGCCTACCTCGATGTTTCATGCTAAGGGAATTTGGATTAGGTTGGAAGAAAGTTCAGGGTGGCCAGTCGATGAAGTCTTTTACTGTTGATCTGAGTCGTGTGGAGATATGTAGACTGCCCGATTGCGCTCCCCAAGACAACAGAAATCAGTGGTTGAAATGATGACAGGGCAGGAAATCGATCACAATAGCGCAAATGTACTTGTTCCTTGACGTCTTCCAAGGCTTGAATTTTTGCACTAACCGTCATCTTCAATCTTTTTTATTCTCCTGCACAACTTTGATATCACTCTTTTTCTATCTACCTGTCCTCCGTGTACTACTGCAAAGTGTAGGAACCAGAGCCGATCCGCCTTTGTTCGAGGTTCTATTTTGATTTTGGCGGTCAACACTTTCCTATTATTTTTTACTGTTATTTAGAGATACGGAAAGACAGGAAGATACTGATCAAAAATTTATTGACGCTTTGAAAAATGTTCGTGAAAGGGAACGTCGTAAGTTTTTTGTTATGTATGTAACTACATTCATATCTTATGCGTAGAAAGAGTGCAACATCCATGTGAAGAGCACTCAAGTATGTTTGTACAGATAAGAAAGGAGTACTGATTGTGTGAAATGAAACAACATAATTTGTCACTTACATCGAGACACGACGGAAGCTTGTTGTTCCCCTTACTGTGCAAATTACCGCTGAATTTGGTAACATCCACTTTTCTACTGTATAGCTGTGAGTTATGGCTGTTTGATGTGTTTGAACTTGGAAGTTTAGAAGTGTCCACTCCGAGATCGTTGGCCTATGATGGTATACCCAACAACCATACCTGCAGTAATGTTGTTAAGTCGAAGTTAGCCAGCCTGCAGAGTGGTTGACCTTCATGCAGTTATTTTTAAACGCTTGCCTAACTGCTGTCCGTCTCGACGCTCTATGATTGCTGGAGTCATCAGGTGAAAATTCGTCATCAATCCATGAGGTTACTGATCAAGACTGGCGAGCGACTGTAGGTTTTAAAGATGAGGCTTTTGATAACCCGAATTGGTATTTTCAAACCAAGAAATACGTAAAGGAATGCTTCATATGGAATAGAAGACTTCAAACTCGATATCAGAATGCTGTAAGAAGCCAGTATTTATCAGTTTCACCATAATTGCTTCAGGTCCAGTAAGTCTTCCAAAAAAAGAAAACTGAGATTTGCTGCAGTTATGTGTCTCGATGTCTTTATGCACAACCATAGTCATACCGGACCCAACCACTTCGAAAGACGACACATTTGTCAGATTCACTTCGCTTGAAAGAGAAGAATCTATAGAAAGTATAGGCAGCAAAATGCGACAGGTGAAGATCATCTTGTTCATCTTCACTGTCAGTATTCACAAGTTGTTAAATAGTTGGTCCGTTTTTATTAAGAAGTTACTTTGTACTCATTTTAGGTACCCTTTTACGTTTGGCTCATTCAAATCAAAGTACAACGGAAGTCGGAAGTACCATCACTGATAAGGAAAAACCTTCAAGTCTTATGGATGGTGCTAATGAACTCATTGTAGAGAAGTTATCCAAAATGAATTGCAATTGGAAGGATGAGTACGAAACGGATGATTATGAATCCAGTTAACGAAAATAAAAGCTATAGATATTCCCCGCTATTTACACCTTCCTAAAATGACATTACATGAATTTTTAGATAGCTGGCGCTTTTCTGATCATTACTTTCTGGCTCAGCCCAGGCAAATAGCTGCTGGCATCATGTAACATTTAGGTTTGCACATCAAAATGACCCAACCACATATCCTGGTGTAGTAAGTGTTATCTACAATACCTCGAAGCTCAGCAGGATAGTCAGAAACCACAGAGAAACAAATCAACATAGGACTTCGTACTACTGCGTAACAGTTCAATTTGCCATACTGCAGCATATCACTACATCAAGCGAGATTAAAGATAAGGAAGAAAGCAGTCAAAGTGGGAGAAAATTATCAATGGAGGGTAATAAAGAATGAGGGAATATTAAGATTTCGTGTGACTATTAAGATGAAGATAACCTATGGACATATCTGCGCCACTGAGATCGATTCCGAGTCATGTCGTCTAGAGTCTCCAACCACTGTTGTCATCCAGATACCAAGGAGAAAGTCTGCATTTCCCTACATGGCTTGGACCAGGGTCTGAAATCATATTTTAATCTGGACACCTGCGGCCTCTTTCCAGCCACAACCGACTTCCGCTAACATTGTAACTGGAAGGTTATTGACTAGGCATGCGTGGCACATGTTCCCAGATATCTGAATCGATGAAGGTCCACAACCCCATCAACTGACTACTCTCCTCCCTAAACATCTACACCTGACTTCTGCAATGGTAACGTGGTGATATAACAAGATCTATGCTACGAAGATAATGGCCCTCTCTTGACCTCCACCCTTAGTGGCCATGTTTCACAGCCAAAACAGGGCGAACTGCAGCGCATAAGACTTCATCCTCAATAGACAATTGCGTCATATCATAATTTTTTCATAAACGGTGTAAATTGACGAAAGTTATTTGAGTTTATTTTATCCGAATGGAGACTTCTTTGGTGACTGACCCACCAGAGCTGATCCAACTTCCAAGGTAGGTGAAGGAACCACCGCGATCAGTCCTTTTTATTCTCTTATAAGACACTGCACCACTGAAGACTAGTTCTAGAGCGAAAAATTACATTTAGGTGGTGAAAAACGCATCTCAAACACCATCAAATTGACACTCAGTGGTGTCCAGAAGACTCTGCTGTCAGCATCTCCACCCAATATGACTATGTCGTCTGTTTTCTGTAAATCTACTAAGGATTCTTCAGCGATAAAATCTCGTTCCCGTTAACCCCAGATGACAAGAGCGAGGCCTTCGTAATTACGCCTATGATAAGGTTGAATAAGAATAGGGAAACTGGACGCCCTTGACGGATACCATTCGAAGTAAACAACTCACCACAAACCCTAGCACACTACTCATGGGTCTTTGAGTGCAAAGCCCTCAACAGAGTACTGTCCTTACTCGACGCCGATTTCAGTGAGACCCTGTCATAAGATCTTTCGGTCGACCTTCAGGACGAGAAATAAAGCGTACCCTTGTTCCTGAACCTGGTGGAGAGTGAAAATATGGTAGATGCACCCTCGTACAGATCTGAAACCTGACTAATTTCCTCGTGTTATGTTTTTGTCAGACTTCATTTGAACGACTAGTCATTATGGAACCTAGAATCGTAGACACTATGTTCGTCGAATTGATTCATCTGTGGTCATTGTCACGGGAGGATTTCTTTTTTGAAAACTATGAAAATCAGTGATCGAGACTAATCGGAGATCAAATCTGACTCTCATACTATAGTTAACAATTCATTTAACTTTTCCAATGACTCTCGACCGGCAATTTTAAATACCTACCATACTAGATCGTTTAACACTGCTTGTTCTAGACTACTTACAGCTTTCTTGCCCTGCGTGAGTTGGGAGTCTCAGCTCAGTGTTCCTTTCACGACCCAACTAGATAAAGGGTAGCGCATTAGTAGCTGGAGATTAGCTAAACCATTCGTAAGCGTTCGACCCATCTCTCGTGCCAGTGAATCATGAACCTATCCCACGCCATAGGTTCACTAACTACTCACCTTTTCACCAATTTCCTTGATAAGTTTCAATAATTGTCTGTTGTTACTTCTCGCTGCAGCCTTTTCCACCTCTTTAGCCTTCGCTGCCCACCACTATTCGCGGTCATTGTGTAGACTGTTGTCAGTCTACAGTTGAATTCCTCTCGCCAACCGGTGTTCGGAGCCCGCAGGGATGCGTTTGCGTGCACCCACTAATTTTAAAGAAGCTTCTGAGATCCATTGGCTCATACCAACTACGCTCTGATAGTCGGCTGCGGTCCTCAAGGCTGTTGTTGCAGTAGACTGTAGACAGAGCCAGGCTTATTTCGAGTGTTTTGTTTCGACAACTGTATAGCCAGTTCCTCGCTGAGGGTAGCACTCGGAATGGTCTTGCCGCATTTAGGCACTTGTATACGCGTGGTCGCTGTACAAACACGTTCCAAAATAGGTGGCAATCTTCCACCAACCTTCAATGAGTTGAGGTTGGTGAACATGTTAGACAGTGTCTCACTTTATGCTCGAAGCTCATGCTGGTCAGAAATAGATGGTTCTCTGAGCACAGTTGTAGCAAGCGATCACCCTTATCTGTTCGTTCGACTAGGATTCAGAAAGTGCTACTTAACTGCTTTTCTGCCTGATTCAGCCTTTTCATTTGTGCATTGGAATCCCTGCTGCAGCGACCACGTCTGAACGTTTGGCTTTCAGTAGGAGGCTAGACGACAGTTTTCGGTAGAAGTCATCTTTTGCTTCATCCGAGCCGCAGTCAGTGAGTGATGACCAAGAGACAACGGCGAGTCTCACTATTCTCCTTCGTCTCACCATCCAGTCACTCTCAAATGAAGCCATTTTCGTTCCCAGTTTCCATGAGGGCCTACATAGTTTGCGACAGTTATCCGGGATATCAGTTCGTTACCAGTGGTGTCTAAAGTGCTGGTAGGTGTCACACTTAACGGGCCCAGCAAAAAGCATAAACACACACTCGCAGAAAGACTGTTGGGTTTCCTACAGGTCCTAGATGGATGGGTCGCGTGTTCAACCTCCACAAGATGTTCGAACACACACATGCCACAGAACAGAGCTGTGCGTATTCCTCGATATTAGAGCTGTCAAGACTTTGGAATTGTTAGTGGGGGATATACCAGGAAGGTTTGATTCCACCTTAAAAGCCCTACACTTTAATGCACCAGGCAGCGACAGAGCATCTGTACACCTTTCCTCATTGTTTCAAGCCGACAGTGAGGTTAAGCACGGATGCTTGATTCCACCTTTCTTGTTCAACTCCACCAATGATCACATTTTAGAAACAGCCCAGATGAAGGTGCATGAAGTCGACGTATGCATGTTATCAATCGAAAGACTCCCCACTTCCACTATGCCAACGATACCCTTTTGACTGTGCGACAGCAAGTATACTACTCAAATCGTACTCAATCGATTACTGACCAATGTCCCCAAGCACGTTATTTCCTTCGCAGAGTGCTTCTACAGAGCTTGCGGCAGCCTGTATCTGCATTAATGACTGCTGGTGAATCGCTGGAATTTGTCACATTTTGTTTGCCTTCGCAGTTGCACGAGTCCTGATGAGATTTCCAACCGCGTATCGAAAGTCAGGGGCATACCCTAATCTGAACCACCTTTTCTACCGCTATGACGTCAACCTTACAGTGGAAAGTGAGGTGTGCGACGTCTCAGTGCAGGCAATTCTGTCGTGGCTCTGTGAAAGCCTATCCTATCCGACTTCAGGCCTGAAGACGCTGTGATTTTGATAGCTCCATCTTCCGCGAGAACCCTCCCATTTAGTTGGGAAAACATTTGAGTGATTCTGACGTGAGGCGGTGTGTTCGGGCGTGATAGAGATTAGCATTCATTGGATAAAAGTAAACTCGAAACACCAGCTTCGGCGGCTTGGATATGTCATATGCATGTCGTCATAGTGACTTGCACCGGTCGTTTGATCTTGCATTAGAAAAGTCGACTGGGAGGAAACGGAATTTAAAAGCCAGTGCATATGGAAATGTCCGTGTCAGAAGATAGTAAAAGATGCAACCAAGTTTTAGCCATGCTATCAGACGTCTATAACCAGTGCATTCTATTGTGTCAGACAGTTTGCACATTTCACATCACCTACGGACTATCATTCAACCAGATACCACACACGAACTAGTTTAATCACTGTGAAGTGAGATGTACACCCCGTTTATGTCCACTAATACATTTGGTGCAATTAAATAGCAGCGGTGACAGCAGACATCTCTACTTGCCGCGAGATAAGATGATTACCCTCCATGGCTGCGTTGGTTCAAACAGACAGCTTTTATTAACAAAATAACTTGGTCTCCCCTCCATAGTTAGTCAATGTCCAAACACCTATCCATCGACAGATTTGAGTCCCACCCTCAGGTCAAGAAATATAGATAGATGTCAGCCGCCTGTAAGTACGACCGTGTTATAGGATTTGTCGAAGGGTGAAAAGATGGTCGAGGCACTCTTGCGCAGGTCTCGAACCCGACTGATTTTCTGCAGTTTGTTGTTCTCGAAAGCCAGCTAGGCGCCCGATAACTATGGATACCAGGATTTCGGACATGATATTAAACAAATTGGTTTGCCTATGGTTGTCACAGGAAGATTTCCCTCCCTCGGTATAGACTGAAATGATCAGTGTAGTAGACCAATCTGACAAGACCACCTTTTAGTTCCAATCACTAATTAGTACCTGTCACATAAATCAATTCCCCACATCCATCCTTGAAAACTGCAGAGAGTAAACTGTCAGTCCTGCTACTTTGCATCGTTTTAAGTTCGATACAGCCTCCTCAACTTCAAAGAGAGCTGGAGGATCAACATCTACGTCCGTTCAGGTTCAGGCTATCAGGCAACTGAAGTGTTGCTGTCGACCAGTTGAAATGTGCTTCAAAGTATTCTGTCCAACGCTTTAGCCACCTGTCCGAGGACGTTATTCACCGTCCTATCCTTTGCGCGGATGGTTTCACTCATCT